ATGATACTATTTTATGATAAACTGTGGCTGCAAATCTAGAGATATTTATCATCAATCTGGTCTTCATGTGTTAAATTTGTTCTGTTGAGTTATAGCCAGGACCTAAATCAATCTCTCTCTCTCTCTCACACACACACACACACATACGCACACACACACACACACACACACACACACACACCAAAAGATTTTAATATCGGCCCTAAGAGACAGCATGAAATGACTAACTCCAAGCAAAATATCACAATATCACCTCTGACCCTGTGTAAGCTGAGAGCAAAAAAGCCAGGTACAGCAACCAGCACTCACACTGCTTCCCACATTAGTCTTACTCTGACTCCAGCGCCATCCCTGTGGTACAGAGGAGGTGCAGCATCTCCCCCAATGTTCAGTTTAAAGGATCTACCCCTGAGAGATTGGCGCACTCAGTTTAAATCAACATTAAGTGAGTCAATAGACCTTGGAAGGTTTAAAGATGTAATTAGAATTAAGGTGATTCTTCGTCTGTTTTTATTGTAAATGACCAAATATGCAGAAGGCCCCGAGGCTTTTATTTGAAGGTCTAATTTATTATAAGAGTATCATGAAACATCTTAAGTAGAAGGCATATTGCAAAAGCTGCTTCATGGAAGACTGAATGTCTAAAAACCTGAACTTAGGATATAGTGGATGGAAGTTAATCCAGGGATGAAATATTTTGAGAATGTAACCTTTTCCTCACCAGTGAGATTCAGTTGAAGAAAGACCCAGAATGTCATCTCAGCATGTGGTTGCAGTGAGAGATAAAACACTGTTCTTGCTGGCATGGTGAAGATGTTAGGGCCTGAAGTGCTTAAGTGCCTTCTTTAAGAAAAATGAGGCCGGGCGTTGGTGGCACACACCTTTAATCACAGCACTCGGGAGGCAGAGGCAGGTGGATCTCTGTGAGTTCAAGGTCAGCCTGGTCTACAGAGCGAGTTCCAGGACAGCCTCCAAAGCTACACAGAGAAACCCTGTCTCGAAAAACCAAAAAAAAAAAAAAAAAGAAAAAAAAGAAAAACGAGAAGACAAAAAAGAAATGAAAGTTAATATTTACCAAATGTCAGAACAAGAAAAAGTCACAAGAGGTAAATGCTAATAAACATAAACCTTACAAAATTTGAAATATAATATGATTGTGTGACCCAGTTCTGTCCTTTTGTCCCACAATTTTTTATGGCACTGCCTTTTACTGCCTAGCAAATTGTCATAATTTGATATAATTTTTTCCTATGAAGAGAATAGAAAATTGGTTCTAGCTTCCAGAATAACTGATCTAATTTGAGTTACTGAGAGCTCAGGAAAGCATTTCAGTAGCAAAAAATGTATTATTGCTAATGGCTTGTTCACTTTTCGGTTGTTAATCTAAAACTTTATGAAATTCTGTAGCACGCGGACTGAGGCATGCCATTTTGAAAGTTATCTCACAGATAGCTTCTAGCTTGGTCATTTCCAGCTTGCTTCCTCGGACTACACACACTTCCTTCCGTCCAAGAGGAGCAGGATATGGGGGCAATGCACCCTAGCCTCTGGTCCTGCACCTGCTTTTCAACATGGGATGGCTTCGTGCAGTGTGCAAGCAGGGAAGAATGCTCTGAAAGCCATTTCTGTACCAGAACATTGAAATTCCCTAACTCCATGTGGAAGCAGCTATGAATCAACTAAATAGTCTCAGTTGCACTATCCTGAATGCATCCTAACTCAACTTCTGCTAGATCAGTTCCAGAAATAAGCAGTAGCCATTAAAAGTCTACACGATACTATACGTTTTGAATGAAGAAGCTGGGAAGTAAAGAAAATAACAGTTGGAACCTTTTGCAGTTAACACATTTTACTTTGTAAATTTGACAAAGAATCTGAAAAGTTCCATTTCAAGCAAGCTGTCCCTAAAGTGAAACTTTGGCTTGGAACCAGATTTGGTCCTGTTGGTCATTAATGGTATGTGGAACGCTTCTGTGTTAGGTACTGAGAAGTTGCTCAGTGGGGAAAGTTCTTGTTGTAGGAGAATGAGGACTCAAGCTCACAGAACACACATAACACTCTGGATGTTGTGGGAAGGAGAAACAGATGGGTCATTCAAGGTGCCAGCCAGTTACCGTACCCTAAGCGATCTCCAGGTCCCAGGGAGGGAACTGATTGGGGGGAAAAAGGCTCTTGAAGATCAACAATTAAGATTTACTTTTAGCTTTGACATGAATGTGCATGCATGCACTCATGCACCTCACACAAAGACTCCTAGAACAAACTATCCTTCAAAGTAAATTGAACCCATGAGCTGTAGTTTATCATTTTAAGTGTATATGAAATAGGAATAAGTTGGTTCTAGTTTCAATGTGAGATGTCTGGAAATGAGTTATCATAAGCACAGATGCACTGTGCTGTTTTTGTTTCCGTGGAGAACTAGCAATTCCCCTGCGATTCACCACCCCACCAGGTACATGTCCTCACAAGTGCAAGGCGCATCTGAACCTCGAATATCTTATTACTGAGGTCGTGCAGGAACTTTCTTCACTCTACTTATCTGCCTTTGATGAAGTATTCACACATACACTGTGATATTGGTAATTTGTTTTGAAGTTGCCCATTTATATCATGCAATAGAAATGTTAAATTACTTTCATGTCACCCAAAGGGGATAAAAAAGTAAGCCTATTTAAGTTTTTTGTTGTCTTTATTGCCTTTTTTTAAATAGCAGCTAGAAGGAGCTACAAATTTGAAGGCCCATATTTTTCTAAGAGGGTGCAAAAATATAGATATTTTAAAATTTGTTCATTATTGAAAGCAGAAATTATTCTGGAAGGGAGATAGTGTAGTCAAGCAAGCAACTTCCTACTTACTGAGTAGGTTCTATTCAGCTCCTGGCCTCTCAGATGCCCTTTCTTTTGCTTGTCTGAGGTTTGAGGCTCAGCCCTCCTACTAATCAAAGTACTTGTGAAGTCAAATGGTGTCTTGTAAAGCCCAACAGTGGGTACTTACGCCTTTATTCACTAGGGAAAAGCCACACGCCATTTTCAGGGGTCCTTTCAGATACAAGGAATATACTGCTGGATTTTACCACCTGATACTCAGATTGAAAGAGCTGAGAGAAGGTAAAGAATGATGAGGCAAATAATGGCCTGTCACCCACAGAGCTGGGAGCTCCTTGCTTGGCTCCCCTGCATATGTTTCTTAATAGGATTCTGGATGAGCCCCTAGGAGTCTCGCAGCCTGAATTGCAAGCAGACAGTATTCCCAATGTTTGCATGATCATTTCTTTGAAAAAAAAGTCCTTTTAAATTTTATTCTAGTTAATCCTATGACTTCATTGAAATATACATAGCATTCTTTCTGATTGGCTTGGGAAATGAAACATATATGCCCTTCTGCAGGTCAATTTTTCTTTAAGTGAGATTTCACTGGTTCTAAACAGGTGTCACTTAGACAGATGTCATATCTCATATCTCTGATCCCAGCACTTGGGAGGCTAAGTAAGAGGATTGCTGTGGGTTCTAAACCAGCCTGGGCTACATAGTGAGTAACATTAAGCCAGCCTGTGTTAAATAATGAGACTCTCTATTGAAAAATGGGATGGTGGTGTGGTGAGGAAGGGAGGGAGAAACAGACAAAAGAGATAACTAACACTTGAGTGCCCCCTGTTTGATTGTGTATTATTGGCTACATTGATGGCCCAGCTGAACTAAAATCTTTTCACGTGTCTGGCCGGCAATTTCCTGCTGTGTTGCTATGTACAATTTGTAAAATGATGATTAAGTCAGTGTAAAATGATTAAGAAGGTTGATGATATAAACCCCTTGCTGTATCTGTGTTTGCAGTAGAAGAGGCAAGCCATGCCTTATCAGGAAAGTACAGGTGTGTCTCAGGATAGAAAATGAAAATTTATATTTCTTGAGCATCATTCAGCCAGTGTAATGAGCATTATTGATTAAAGTGTTAGGGTCAACAGATTTAAAACTGGAACAGAGGACACCATACTGAGCACAAAAAAGTCTGTTGAGGAGGCAGGCAATGGAATGACATTGATTTTCTTTTTACGTGAACCATGAGATGCACTGGCTGTCCTTTGTTAGCCTACACGAAAGTTTGGATTGACTTAGACACTAAAGACTTGTGAACATTGTGTACAACTGGAAGCTAATCATGTAACTTCAGAACATGGGCATGTAAACAGTCCAGAGGAATTCTCAATGGTGGTTATGAGGAGACAGCTTCTCAAGTTATTTACTGGACAAAGCAACTCAACATACTCCCCCTTAGAGTGGCGTGTAATCAAACAGCCCGACCTTGGCAGGGTCTTGTTCATGTCATAAAATCTACCATATGTATTGGAATTCTGTTCCATAGTTTCATAACTAAAGATTAGTCAGACTTTGTCATATATGAGCACCTGCATTGTTACTTGATGTTTCATATTGTTCTTAGTGGGGGAAAGTCCTGGATAGATCTAGAAAATCCCCAGCCAGGTGATCCATTCCGTGAAGAGGCTGAGATGGGACAATTATGAGTTTGAAGTCACTATGTGCTAAGTCATGAGACTGTGTCTCTAAAAACCAAACCCAATATCTCTTAACTGCCAATTAGTAGAAGTAGATAAATACTAAATTTTATGCATTATTAACAAAAATATAACAAAAATTAATAAAAATATGGTCACTTAATTTTAGTAGATAAATGCAAAGTTATTTCTTCTAAATTTTATGCATTATTAATAAAAATTATTAAAATTATGGTTTTAATTTTCTCTGGTGTAGTTCTTATATACATATCACAATAGGTTTATTTTAAATTTAAATTCTTTAACATATATCCCCAGTAATATATGTGCCTCTGTGGCCTGTTTTTAAACAGGAATTTCGTGTAGAGGAATCAATATTGGATTCTAAGCAACTTTGAGTTTGACTGGTTTCTTTTGACATTGGCAGCTCCAGTTTCTCTAGGAATGGATCAGTGTGTCTGACTGTGACCTGTGTTACCTTGGCCCACAGGTGTACCCTGAGTGTGACACTGGAGCAGGCCATCATTCTAGCCAGAAGCCATGGGCTGCCTCCTCGATACATTATGCAGGCCACTGATGTGATGAGGAAGCAGGTAAGCCCCTCTCTCCTTTTCCAGGACCTTGCTTGCCTTTGTTCATTCATCGAGTAATTTTATGGGTGCCTTGTGTGGTGGACACTTTTCTAAGCATGAGACTCTGGGTAAGCCATGGTTGGGAAGCATATCCTATGAGAAAATAGTACAGACACCTAGTTCAAGTATGGATACTGGGGAAAAGGACCTAGAAGCAAAAAAAGGAAATGGTCACACAAAACAAGAGTGGACTGGGCTTTTAGCAGTAACAAATTACAGAACATATGGCACTTCTGGAAACTGTAGGCAATTTAATGATCCTGGGAAGTAGAGAAGGAGGAGGAGGAGGTGGAGGAGGAGGAGGAGAAAGAATTGAGGGCCCTGCTAGTTTTTGCAGTTTCCCAGAGTCTTCCATTCCATGATAAGATATGTGCATGATATTTGCATCATCCTGAAGATACAGTGCTAACCTCAGAATTTCCATTTGAGTCTGAATATGACCCTTTTAATTATCTTACCATCACCAGAGACTGTATTCCTTGTGTTCCCTTTTTTTTTTTTTTTTTTTTTTTTTTTTTTACGAGACAGGGTTTCTCTGTTTTGGAGGCCTTGTGTTACCTTTTAAAAAGGATGAATTTTAAACTGTAACCCAATAACATTTGAAGAGCCAAGGTAACTTGGTTTTAAATTGTTTAAAATTTTTTTTTAATGCACTGGGTTCCATTTTTCTGATTAGAAAATAGAATTGAGCTAGTGAAAAAGGCATTTAAGCAGCGATAAGAAAAATGAAAGTCATCAATTTTACATATTTTCTGTCACATTCCTTTGGCTTGCTGCAGCAAAAGCTGACTTACCTTGAATTGTTCATCGACAGTGACTTCATTAGATAGGCTTTTGCAATTATAACTACTTTATTCATTAGAACTTTACTCAGGCAAACATAAGCATTGTCAACCCCTCCGGGGATTGATTCCAAGATTTCACTATGGAATGTCAATTTAGAAATAGACTGAAGAAGCCAACATCGAGCTAGCATCTGCAATGTGGACTGCAGGCCCAGTGAGTGTGTATGGATGCCTTGCAACTTTTGCTTTTGGAATCCAGGGATACAAGCTGGCTGAGTGTAACTTAGAAGAAATCACACAGAGATTAGTCAAGTAAAGTTTCAACCCACCAGAAGAATGTGACATACTGTTTTCCAGATGACAAGTGACAAACACAGTAGCAAACTGCCATGTGTGTTAGGAAGGGCTTGGGGAAGTAGATGCACATGTTCTGGAAAAAAAATCAAAGTAAGCCTGTGAATTCTCACTTAAGAGGTGGGATTTAGGGCAGAAAACAAGAACAAAGGTGTGGATGAGGTCTTCTTTTCTATTTCTGCATTACTCTTAGAGAATGTACATGGGGAGCTTTGGAAAAGCTCTCTCACAATTAAACCTTACAAGGAGAAGGAGCTCGAGTGAGCTTCTCTTGAACATTCCACTAAAGAGTTTATTCTGAGTTGATGCCATGTGCATCCCTACCTGTAGGTCTGAGTAACCACAATCCTCTGTAATATCTTCAATCATTAAAATTAAAATGGACATAGAGAAAATAGAGATAAAGAGATGTCGATTTTTACATATCAACTTCATTGCTACAAAGTTCGTTACATGCCTGATATGCACATATAGTATCAATATTTGATTTGTAAAATTGAATCAGAATCACTGGGAAGTCAAGCAAATTGTAAACTGTCCATACTTTTATCACTCTTTCATTCTCTTTTTTGTTTTATAACAAGTTTGAGAGTAGGTAGCTTTCTTCCTCTGATGCTGGTCCTTCAGCTTCAAGCTGAATACCCTACATGGCAGAGAGACCCAGAAGACACAGTCTATCCTACAGGGCAGAGAGAAGTGAAGACTCTATTATCTCTGCCTTGAGAAAGTTTACAGAGCCTCTTTGGGAGTTAGGCTGGTAGTTTGATATCTGCATTGCTTCAGTGGACATCTTTCTTCAGGCATTGGGCAGTGTCTGGTGGTGAGAGATAGGTGGCTGGTACCCACCCCTCCCTCATGCTATCTAAGCAGCTAGAATGCAAGTCGATTTAGCATTGTGGTGGGGCTATTCCTGTAGATGGAGGTTTCTGTCCTACCTGGTCCCACAGCCATTTTATCCCAATAAATACACTAAGGGCTTTATTAATTATAAACTTGTTGGCCAATGGCTTAGGCTTCTTACTGGCTAGCTCTCTTCTAATTATTAACCCATAACTGTCAATCTATGTATTTCTACATGACCTTGTCAGTCTGGAGAAGGCTCAGCATCCTATCTTCCCAGTAGCAACTTCTCTTCTCAGCAACTTCTCTCTGCCTTCTCTCCTCAGAATTCTGGTAGCTCTACCTATACTTCCTGCCTGGATACTGGCCAATCAATGTTTTATTCATCAATCAGTAAGAGAAACATACATACAGAAGGACATCCACCACCATCTTCCTTTTTCTTCCTTTGTAGGAGAAGGTTTGGCCATTTAAACTTGATCCAGGGAGACACAGTGGTTAAACATTTTTCATCATTATTAGGTTTTGAAGTATTAGAACTACTTTGTTATTGAATTTTGTTGTGGTGGTTGCTTATTGGGTTTTTGAGACAAGGTCTTATTCTGAAGCCCTGTCTGGCCTGAAACTTGTTAACAGTGTTAATGCCTCAGCTTCCCAAAGTTCTAGAATTACAGCCAGGAGCCACCATAGTGAGCTCACATTATTGAATTTGAATTATTATATATTAAGCTATTGTACTTTGTTATACATTAAAGTTGTACAATTATAATAAGATGAATAAATTAAGACTGTCTTTTCATTTTGGGAGAATGAGCTATTGATGGGCTAATTGTTTTTAAGGACAAACTTTTCATAGAGAAGTTGTTTGAATTCACTGATTGACTATGAATGAGAAGGAAATGTAATGTATGGCCCTTATAGGTTTTTGTAATAATTGTAATAGGTTAAATAGCACTTTGACATAGCCAGATGCCTGGAGGGTGAAGAGAAAGCTTAAAGTAAAAACTGACTTTTGCATCAGAGAATTTTAAAACAATTTCCATGGTATAAGTTATAAATTTTGTTTGTTCTTCAGTAAAAATCCATATAAAATTTTCTTTTTTAGCTTTCTAATAAATGCTTAGAATCTAAGTATGTGAAGTCTTCACCTTCAGGGTCACATCATCACACTCTTCACTGAGAACAAAACCACAAAGGAGGTCCTGGTCTTGCCACATGGGGAGCACCTGTAGGCATAATGTCATCACATAAACACTGGCAAACAAGTGCACTAGAAAGCCCAACCTTTGGACACAGTTCAGGGAGCATGCCAGAAGTCTGTAAGCCCATTGGTGGCTAGGACCTTGTGCAAAGTAAATGCTTAGATGAATTTGTTCATGGAGTTACCTCTAACTAGGGTAAATAGGCAAGTGCATTGGCACAGGGCATACTAATATCTAGAAGCACGCAATCATGAGCTGAGCAGCACTGTTGGAATCCAGCACTAGCACAGTTTAGGGCAGGACTTTTTGCTTCTCAATTCCTTACTTTCTTTGTGGTTCAGTCAGGGGTAGTAATAGCACTTTCTTGATGGTATGTTTGTGAGGATTAAAGAAGCCAGTATGTTTCTTGCCTAAAACAGTACCTGAGATGCCAAACAACAAAGTGGTTATTAATGAATGATCATGCAGTATTTTTGGAGTGTTGAGAATAAACATATGTAGACAGGCAAAGGGGTCAGGGAGGCTGTCTGGGCAGACAGGTACAATATGAATAATGGTGTGAAAATACAAATAACTGATAAGTAAAATGCATGGAGAATTATATAGATGAATGCAAAAAAAGCCAATAGTTGTTTCTAGTTATACCAGGTTTAAGAAAATGAAAAGCTTTCTGTTAATTACTTAATGAAATATTATGAAATGACACAGAATTATACATGAACAGTGGTCTCTAGTTGCTAAGCTTATTTATGTTGCAGGCATGACCTAGACATTCTAAAACTAATGTTTATATGCATTAAGATTGAACAAACTATCAATGGTAATCTGAACAAGAAAAGATGGACTGTCGATGACAGGTAAAGAAGTTATAGATAAGGAAAAAAAAGACTGTACTCACTAATGAACTCTGTTGTGCTAGTATGATCTAATAGATATATCCAACACACACTCACACATGCACTTATACACACACACAAACACACACTCACACATACATACACATGCATATGCATACAACGTGGGAATACACATATTAAATATAGATGTAGAAATAGGGAAGTGAGTGAACATGTTTGTTAATAAGCTAGTCCTATCTACTAAAAAGGTCTAGAAGCAGCTTTTTGTCAGTAGTAACAAGCACACATGGTATCCAGATCTTGGCATCTAAACAGGATTTGAGAAGAGGGAAGGAAGGAGGGAAGAAGAAAGGAAAGGAGGGAGGGAAGGATGGAGGTATGATGTCCAAAGACAAATGGTTACTTACTTGTTAAGATGAGAAGACCTGCCTTTGGGTACCAGACAAAAGCCAGCACTGACACATAATGAAGGTGTTTCAAGGCACACAAGAACTCAAAAACCCCCAATACTCTAACCAGAGCAATTTGAAAGAAAAAAATGATCCATATTATACCTCAGAATGAAAGAGTCATTATCTGTGAGTTCCTGCTGAGTTAAATGTATACTTGAATAAGGGATTTGGGAAATTGAAAACTCATCTTGATAGGAAGTGCCATTCCATCACAATATTGGTATGCCACAAATGGGGACCGGAATGGTGAGCCGAAGTTTGTAGGGAAACACATTATTCACAGTCTTACAGTCCCAACTTCTTTGCAAAGCCTACAAAGAAGAGGTGGTGACTTAGCTGTAGGTGTGCCATTAGATAAAGTAATCAAGTGATGTCATAAGTGCTAAGATACAAAGACAGCATGTATCTCCTAATGTCATACACACAGAATGCCCCAGTGTCACTTCTTTGATTTTCTTGCTTTAAAAAAATGCATCTCCTCTCTCTGATTATAACACACTAGAAAAATTCAAATTGAGACCGTAGTTGTTTGAAAGAAAATGGCCCCTGAAGGGAGAGGCATTATTAGGAGGTATAACCTTGTTGGAGGAAGTATGTTACTGTGACGACAGGCTTTAAGGTCTCATATATGCTCAAGATACTTCCCAGCGTTTTACACCACTTCCTGTTGCCTGCATGATGTAGAATTCTCAGCTGCCTCTCCAGCTCCATGTCTACCCACATGCCACCATGTCCCATCATGATGATAAGGGACTAAACCTCTGGAACTGTAAACCACCACCTCAACAAGAGTTTTTGTGGTTATGGCATCTCTTCACAGCAATAGAAACCCCAATTAATTCAAATAATGGCTAGTACCCATCCAAAGTATGAAGGTCATCAGAGACATGTTCTGGGTAGCTGTCATGGAATTTGGGCAAATTCACAAAATGTGATTCTGCACTGGAGGATCCTGGACCAGAAAAGGAGCCTTGCTCAAGCAAGTGGTGGAATCTGAACACAATGTACCATAAGTAATAGCATCATACTTGTATTGATCCCTGGTTTTGATAAACCATGGTTAACGGAAATTTTAATGAGAAGGGAAGCTTGGTGAAGGGTGTAGAAATGGATTTTGTTCTTGCATGTGTTTTCTTAAGTTTTCAATGTCTTCAAAAGAAAAAGAACTAATTGTTATTCCTTCTTGTATGTCCCTTTTGCCTGTTCATCTTTCTAGATTTGTTTTCATTTCATAGTTTTATTTTGAGAGAATCTGTCCTTTCTCTTCGTTTTCTCTCAACTTTATTTAGGGTGGCATTGAATATGCAGTGAGTACTTAGATCATTTCAGAGTTTTATTTTGTTTTGACCACTCTCCTTTCTCTGTTCCCAGTAGCAAACTGTCATAGTTGGTTCAATGTAACTAGTTTCCTTTAGGACCTAAGCAGTAGATGTAACTTCATTCATGAAACTGACAAGTCACAGCGTCCTTTTTATTGCTGAAGAAGATTGTCTTTCTACTACCAACTTTGAGATGAAACTCTCAGATTTCATAACTCCATATTTATATGGCTTGTATAAAAATTCTTTAGGATATTTAGATTTTTTAATAAAACAATATCACATTTAAAATAGTGATCCATCTGAGGAGATGCATTTATGACTCCTGTTCTATGAAAGTGTTTGGGCCTATCATGTGTTTAGACTTGGTCGTGTCCTGTTCTCAATGTTTAACTAATCAATTGCTTCTGAAGATAAAGATGTGTATGTAGGGTGTGGGGGCAAATGGGAATCTGTTAAACTCATTTTTGAATGAGTCTAGGCTATAGGATTAATAGTATTTCAAACCATATAATTTAAGTCACAAAAGCACTGATTTTTAAGATGTTCGTATGGTGATTTTTGTTGTATTCCTTATCAGTGTCCCTTGATGCTAAACTGTGCTGGAGCAATGCCTCAACTAAGGTGTATTGGAATTAACTCTAGCATTATTGAACTGAAATGATTTCCCTAACTTACAGGGTGCAAGAGTTCAGAACACAGCTAAGAACTTGGGGGTTAGAGATCGGACTCCTCAGTCAGCTCCGAGGTATGTGCACCCCAACTACCCCTCACCTGAGGGCTTACTGGCCTCTGCCAGTGTTGGCCATGGCAACGGTACCTGCTTAGTTCATGCTCAGTGTCATACTGACACAAATTTTACAAAATTCACCTGGTGAATTCAGTGGCGAAACTTGACAAGGGGCTAACAAATGCTCTCAGAAATAAACAGACATCATTATTTTGAAAGTGAATTCAAAAAGAAAAGTCTACGCAAATGTGACTCAAGATGGAATTCCTATGTGCAGACTGCCAGTCTACCCTTTCCATTGACTCTCTGTGATTGTCATGCCTTTCCTTCTGCCATGGTTGCAAAACTATTTACCTCACAAACCCCAGTTTGGATGTCATGTCTGCTTTGAGTTTTGCTTGAACTGCTCCTTTTGTCAGCTTCCTGGTATCCTGAGTATTACATTATGTTATGCTGCCATAATTATCAGAGGTTTCTCTGCCCAACCCAAATAGGAGTTCTCAGATGTTTTATCAGTGACTACATAAGACATTAAATATCTAAAGTCATTTCAAGACCATGTCAATTAATGAAGAAAACAATGAACTCTTTGTTGGTTATATAAAATATTTGCAATTTACTAATTATCATATAAAAGGACTCTAGCTTACCTTTAACGTAAATGATCATAGAGAAATGTTTTCCATTTGATTTCCTATGATTAGGGTAAGCAGTTGTCTATCTTGAAACAGAGCATTGTTAAATAACTAAACTTACATTATTATATGTTTGCATTTTAACGAGTAGGAATCTCCAGGTTTGACTCAGGTAAGATGTTCTTTGTTTCTGTTCTGAACACCATTATCAGAGATAAGGTGGTGACTACAGCCTTTTATGAAGTTATTCTTCACTTTGAAAAACTTCTTGGGTGGTGAGAGCACTTTCAAAAGGGAAAACATATTTTCCCTCTGAAAAATGCATGAGGCTATCATGTTCTAGCTGCATTTATTTTTAGTGCTGATTCCCAATTCTATGTAATCCTACAGTCTTGTTAATGTTATCCTTCACGGCTGATTAGATTGGAATCTTAAGGCTTTCTCTTGCTAAAGAATCATTTCACATAGCACTCTCTCTAACACCACGAGCAGACACAGTATATTTGTGTAATAGACCCACTCAAGTGTTAAAATTCCAGTAAGAGAACATGATAATAGCTTTTTAAGGTATTTTCAGCTAGAGCCTTTGAACACTAATAAACAGTGAGGTTGGGATAAGACTTTAGCTCCCCCGATCAATAAACCAATACCCCAGCTGAACACAAGAAAACAAACTGATGAACTCAAGCCTTTTCTCTATTGGATTATCTTTAAAACACTTGAGATGAAACATAATAAAATGAACCAGCTATAAAATTGACATGTTGCACAAGAGGATAGCAACCTTAAGAGAGAAATAAAAATCATTTCAAATTTTTATTTACTGTTTTATACATTCTGCAGATATTTATTGGGGGAAATATAGTATGTGTTACTCTTGTTCCAGGGAGGATAATAATCCAATACAGAAGTGCCTATAGCCCTGAAGGAGCTTCCACTTAAAGAAATGAAATGTCTAACTAAGGACATAACTCAGTGGTAGAGTACTAGCATGTTTGCCTGGAATGTACAAGGGCCAGGATTTGACTCTCAGCAAGGAAAAGGCAGGAATGAGGGGAGGGAGGGAGGGAAAGAGGAGAAGCAAGAAAAAAAGAGTAGAGGAGAAGGGGGAGGGGGAAGAGGAGAGAAGAGGAGGTGAGCTAAAATTTGGAGAGAATACAGAGGCTCACAGTGCCCTGGGGCCCCTCCTGACAGGAACCAGCACTTTCCTCAAAGACAGTTAGCTGGAGGACACACTTGGTTCTCAGGGCCAAACTATCCACTGGCAAAGCTGACAAGCTATTTCTAGAAAGTTCATTCGTGGAGGTACAGTGAGCTATCTCTGCCTGAGATTTTATTTGGTTCAAATCTCCTAACTGACCTCTATCATAGTATTCCTAATATCCACTTTCTTGCTTTATTATTGTTTTTTTTTCACTCAGCAAACATACATTATATCTATCTATCTATCTATCTATCTATCTATCTATCTATATACTTCCTGTTAGGTATCTGTGAGGGCAGGACTTCTGGTGAAAGCAGAGTATATTATTCCTCAACTTCAGTGATTAATGGGTGAATGTGATTAAGGATGATGGAGAATGTAGCTGGAGATGTAGGCAGAAGCCAGATGGGAAGATACTTATAGGAATAAGGAAGATTTTTCATTTGAACACGAAAAAAGCAGTGGCATTCCTCACCTTCCTTTCTGGTGAATCTTAGGATCTTCTTGGGCAACACTGGGATGGCCCATCAGAGGACAATAAGACTAAAGATGGGTTTGAAAGGAGATGATGTTAGTATGAAGATCAAAGATGAAAAGACAAACACAGGCCTAATTCATAGCCTTTGGGTGGGAACAGGAGAGGAATTAGTGAAAAGGAACATTCTGGAATGACCATGAGATCTTTGACTTGGATAAAAGTGGTTAACAGTTCCTGCTCTTGAGATGGTGAGTACAGAGGGAAAGAGTGTGCACTGGACAAAGATGGTGATCTCAGCTGGTTCACACTGAGATGGAGAAGTAGGAGCCAGCCAGTGCAGATGCCTCTGTGGGCTGCTCAGTCTACAGGGCAGAGCTACAGTACTGTAAGTCACATGTCACTGAAGACCTGAATTTTATTACCTGGTGAGTGGGAACTTAGAGAATGTTACTATGGTTGATGCAGAGTGTAACAAGCAAGCAGAGGATAGAGGATGAGATTCTGAGAAGCTGAAGGAAAACGGGGGGCGGGGGTGTTCTGGAATTCACAAAGGATGAAGTAGCTATGGTTACCACACAGGAACAGTGGAAGAGTGAACATTCTGATTCATGGAATCCATGTGTTGCATATCCAGTACTGAAGTTGAGTCATTCTAGATAGGTTGGTTCTGGTGCATGATTTTCCTGTGCATCATGATTCTGCTGTAGCACTTTTTGTCTGAAATATGTCAGGAATAGCCTTTGCTAGGGAGAGATAAAAACAGATAGGAAACCTGTGTGCTCAAGATGCTTCAGCCTAGCAGGAGACAGAGATCAAGACAAAGCCCTATGTGTACATGTGCATCTGTGTGCATGTGTGTTTCTCTCTGAGATTCCGATTTTTCATCTGTCAGATGGGGGAATTGCTGAGACACAGTATATTTTAACTACGGAAGCAACATTTGCTCTGTAGCCCCTGTTAGCACATTTAGATGGGTAATGGTCATGGTGTAGACAATGAAGTTTGGGGACTCTGTTGCAGAAACATAAGCCCCACAAGGAAGATGAAGAAGTAGAGCCAGGACAATGCTTGCTCACTCAGAGTCTTTACTGCCCAGATGTAGGATAACAGCTTCACATGTTGGGCCAGGAAACCCCGCCCCCAATAACTTAACTGCCCAAAGCAGAAGGTGCAGCATGCTAGCATCCAACTCCTTCCCTATTACATTTTCCTTCCAAAATTCATCCACCTGACCTGCACTCCCAGAGCTGTACAGTTTCTATTACAAATGTGTCTGAACTCAGATAACCCTGAGTCATTTCCAAGAAGCTTCACAGAAGCCGAAGCTTCCCAGCTCTGCAGTAGTCAGAGCTATTATTGCATTTGGTGACTACAGGGAATAACCTTTGCTCCAGTTTGCAAGGCAGATGTTTCCAAGACTCATCTCTCTGCTAGCATTGGTCCTATTGGGCATAGACATGCAGAGAAAGATAATAGAATGTGGTAGGTAGGACATTCTCCATCAGCCATCTCTGTTCTACCTCCTCTCAGGCCCCTGGACTTTGTCACTCACTAGACAGAACTGCCATGGAAATAGGAGGATAGAAATTGAGAAAGAAAAGAACCTTCTGATTGTTCTGCTTTCCCTGCCCCAGGAGGCATTTTGAAGCAGCAGCTTCTATTTCAGCTGCAGAGGAATCTCGGACTACATCAGCTCAATTTAATGTGTTCTTTTCTCTGGGAAGGACATCTCCTCCTCTGTGTGGATAACCTATGGGGCATAAGCCACCTTTTGGGCATGAAGTACTTTTGGCAAACCTCCAAAGACAGTAACTTCTGACTTCCAGACTGATAAAGTTCATTTTATTAACCAGACTTACAACTTGGTATTAAATCATCCTCATTTTTATCCACTGGTTTAGAATTAGCATGGTTTTATATGTCACAGGGAGAGGAAATTGATAGTTTGCTAAAGTGACTAACAACGTTTTGAAGTTTTGTTCAACTTACTGTCCAAAAGGAGTCAATTTCTTTGGCGACCCTTGTTTGAATCACTTTCAAAGAGCTGTAACATTGAGCTATTGATTCTGGGTGTGTAGCTTAGCAGTGGAGCACATGTTTAGCAAGCACGAAAGCCCTAGGTTCAATCCTTAGCACCCATACATGCCCCTGCCAACATACATGCACATGCTCACACACGCACACACACACATGCATGCACATGCATTTCATAATTGGGTTCTGCATTTGAGATACTAGCCGAATGTACAAAGTAGGACAGTGTAGTCAATTTTTCCAAAGGAAAACAGGTATAGTACAACACCCAAGCACCTTGACTCAGCCTCTAGATCAGTGGTCCTCCACTCGTGGGTCACACATCACATCTACTGCATATCAGATACTTAATTACAATTTGTAACAGAAACAAAATTATATTTATAAAGTAGCAATGAAATAATTAATGGTTGGGGATCACCCCAACATGGGGAACTGTATTAAAGGGTTGAAGCATTAGGAAGGTTGAGAACATTGCTCTAGATGAACTTACATGGGGCTTTGAGGTCACTAGCATTATCTGGCAGCATTTTGTTCCCTTTTCCTTTGGATTTAGAGTTAGCATTTAGTCACTCTGATCAACTTGTATAAAACTATATGTTCTCCTAAGCTGCGTATTGCTGCAGTATGGTCTCAAACAGCTAGACCTGGCTGTGCAAGTGCATGTCCCAGCTTCTCCACAAGTAACATAAATTCTTTGAACCTGGAAATAGATCCTACTGACAGGTAACTGATGGCTGGCTATGGATGGCCAGTCATAGATCCTTAGAAAAGGCCAGGTAATGAACTGTCTTGAGATTGAGGCTTCAGGAACCTATCACATCAGCAATCCCCAGCCAGCCTCTGCTCCACAGGGATAGTGCAAAATGAGGGAAATTTGTAATAAGTATAAGAAAACCTGTAGATCCCCATGAGATAGAGATCACATCACTGCAAGATATCTGTGATGAACAAGGTGCTAACTATCATAATGACACCACCTCCTGGCATTCAGGGCATAGATTTTACTATCAACAAAGGAAACAGACAACCTAAAGCAGAGCAGTAGCTTCTAAAACAGTTCTCAACCTGTGGGTAACAACCTCTTTGGAGGTCACATATCAGATATACTGCATTTCAGACAATTCATAACAGTAGCAAAATTATAATTATGAAGTAGCAAAGAAATAATTTTATGTCTTGGGGTAAAAGGAAGTGTTGTTTAATCAGCCTTCTAAACGTGCTCTATGAGACACAAGTATTTGCTCAATCACAGCTCCAAAACTTTGGATTAAGCTGATTCATAGACTATTTTCCATAGAACAGTCAATGTGGTGATTGCTAATGGAGCCAAGAAATGATTTAATGTATTTGTTCTGCCAATAAAACCACTCTGGTAAGGGCTATATACTAAGTGATTGTCCTACTGTCCTGTGTCTTTTCTAGGCTGTACAAGCTGTGTGAGCCACCACCCCCAGCTGGAGAAGAATAAGCATTCCCAAGAGCCAGGCAGGCAGATGCTTCCAAATGCTGACCAAGTCAACATTCTCCACTGAAGATAAAGAGATGCATATTTAAGATATAAAGTCTTACCCCTGGTGTAAATAACTGATGTTTGGTTTCCTGTTGGATATTTATGTTGGAACCAGCAGTTCATTCCAACAGTTGAGTCTCACATTCTATATATTGACATTACAGATTCATATTAGGGCAAACCTCACTGCTGAAATTTATAGGAAAATATGCATGAAGGATTATTGATAAAGAATTAACTATTTTGGTTCCTTTCTCATTCATTAATTACATTGTATTGTTTTAACTTCCCCACTGGGCACATGTAATACTTGGTAGTTTTTCTTGATGAAGTATGTCACTGAAAATGATGGCCACACTCTGGAAGACATCATACAGAAATGTTATGGATAGTGGCGATTGGGAGGCACAGGTTTCCACATCCCTCCTGTACCACACAGAAATGTGTGAGTGCAAAATAGGAAAGGACACACCTCCGCTTCTTCTAAGGCTTCTTGGAAGTGAAGAGAGTTGCAAGGTCCTGACAAGACTTCTTCACTGTCGTCACAGATGCTCTCTGCATGTGTAGACATGCCAGCATGCAGATGCTCTGCTTAATCTCTGCACTGAGCCATGAACAGTGGGTGATGTACCATTGATGTCTGTGAGTGGGGAGTTGCCAGGGTTGGGAAGTGAGAGGAGTGAGTGAGAAAGAAAAAAAGCCTATTTGAAAACTCAACCTTGAACTAAGAGAGTCTTCCTGTGAGATGTCAGACCCTTAAAATAATACACCATCATGAGTATTTTTCTATAAAGTTATATGTATAAGATGTGAAAATAGATTTGTATGTTGTACCTTAAGGGCCTTTAGGGAAGCACCTTGACAGTTTATGCAAACAAGGTATAGACTGTATTCATCCTAAAGTATATGCAATGTTTATCACTTCCGTTTGCTATAATAATATTGTTTTTAGCACTGTGAATAGATTAATATGGCTTTAAATATATAATTTTAAAAATAATTAAACATGCTCACTGTGACTGTGGTAGAGTTGTGCTTTGCTTGGTGATAGGGATAAACCGTGCCTTTAGGTGATATTGTCATTGTACAAATGTCATGGGATACACTTACATAAGCTGAGAAGACTATGTTCATTAGACGGTATGGCCTATAGAACCATCTCCTGTGAGCTCTCCATCACTGGCCCAAAGGCCACTATGCAGCACAGGACTGTGTATGAATGTAGGCTAAGCCCATGAAATCCTTACCTTAACTACAGTCTTGACAAACCGTTATTCAGTTTTACTTTATAAATTTCATAATGACTTTCAGACTATCATTAAAAGCCATCTTTACAGCCAGTGATATATTTAATTAAAGAATATGTTCCAAAGGTATGGGGCATATGTATCCTACTAGTTAAGGTGAAAATTAATGGGTACAGAGCAGAGCACCCAATATTTTTTCAATAAATTTGTATATGACTCATCTAGGGAAATCAACGTCAGTTGCTAAAGAAAAGCCTTAGTATTTTGAGATTGATAATGATAGGACCTGCATTTGCATATTTATATAACACATCCACAACTTTCAGGGAATCATCATTCTTGCTACCATCAGCACACAACCCTGATGCTCTGGTTATTCAGAATGCCATCTGCTGAAAGTCTTAAGAGTGAGAACTGACTGTCTCACAGCCCCTTCACGTTGCTTTACTCTTCTTCAGTCTTCATCCTGAAAGTAAGCGTCCACAGAGCACGGAAGGGCTAGGAAGCAGGGTTATGTCTCATGGAGCATATCATTGGCTCAGTAGATTTTATGAATTACTGGATTCTAAGGATCAACTCTACGTAACAGAATGTGATCAGTGCTATTTTTTGAGTTAAACATTATCTTTGGACACAGCACTTACTAACTTCGAAATTTTGCTAGTGGTTTATAGTGATATCAATCAATCACTGTAATTTTTAGTGTACTAAAATTATAGCCACCATATAGTGTGTACAATATGGCATCTCTGGCTGCCTAGCCCACATTTTATTGTTCCTTCTTCACATAGCCTTGTAGCAGTGATGAAAGATGTCCTTGTTTTATTATCCATACTCCATAATTAAGCTAAAAGCAAAGACTAACACAGTGACTTGCACAATCCCATGGTGAACACAGTGCAGTCAGAGGTTAACCTGTGAAATATATCTTCTTTATGCATTGTTCCCCTTTACTAATGCGAGAATCATTATAATATTAACAATTACTTCCTTGCTAAAGCTGGGGCTTAATGATGTGATTTGCCATTTAATTACATAAATTATGTTGCAAAAATCAGGTGAGAATATGCAAGATACCTTCAATGTATGAGAACATCTCCTTGGTATTTCCCATTCATAGCTGAGGAGCCTACACATGTATTGCAAGCCATGAGTAGGACACCATATAAAACTTGACTGTAATTCCAAACTGATTAACAGTAAAAATTTTGATAGATGAATGATCACTTTTCAATACCATAATATATACCTCCTTTTGACATTGGATTTTTATTAGCCCTTGGGATTTTAGGACACACTTGCTTTAATATTGCACTCATCTCTGTAGCTGTTGTTCATTGACAAGCTACTGAAAAAGCATGCTTAACTCTTCTTCCAACACAGACTACTGTCTCTACCCATTGAGAGATTTCAGATCTTATCTACTATCTTAAATCTTCTCCCATTTGTTTCCAGCATTACAAAGCTTAATTTTGTAGAAATATGAAGAGTTGAGGACTCAAAATATATCTTTCTTGCTTAGAGAGAAAGAGAGGGTGAGAATTTCTGTTCTATATTTACTAGACAGGATACTAAGTTTCTAGTAGATGTGCTGTCCTATAAACCAGCATTCGATGTGAAGGCTCAATCTGCTTTCTTTCCCTTTAACACACGTTTTTCTAGTGTCTTCAGTCCCCTATGCATTGTGACCACTCTTCTTGCAACAAGATGTTCATTAAAAAAGGCAGATAGTGCTGTGGCTTGGAATGTGCCTCAGTGGTTGAGCATTTGCCTAACACATGGGAAGCCGTGTGTTAAGCTATGTTGGCTCTCTTTTAAGCCAGTGGTGTCTCACACCTGAAACACAAGTACCCAGAGGAGACTGATGCAGTGGGATTGCCAGAAGTTCTAGGCCAGCCTGAGCTATGGAGTGAATGTGAGGCCAGTCTTGACTACAGTGTGAGACATTGCCTGAGAAGGACCAAGATACTAGTGTGCATGTTACTTGGGATTGGCTCTATTTCAGATCATATTGATTTTAATTTTGAATAGTTCAGAATGAAGTGAAGTTGACCCTATGCTAACTTTAACAGTAAAAAAAAATCAATGAGAAACAAATCCCAAGGTAGGTATTAGCTAACTTTAGGCAAACAAAATTCCCAAGGAGGTATTGGCTAATTTAAGAAAGTGATGTCTTGCCATGGGCATGTAGATTTTATAGGCAACATATATATTTACTTTTTTTGGAAGCTTTAGATTAAGACTAAATTGTTCCATGTAATTAAAGCAAATACATTTCTATCTCAAACAGTCAAGGGTTCTTATACAAGTCTAAGCAGCTGTAGTCCTATGTGACATGATTCCACAAAGCTTAGTAAGTGTATTCTTACTCATTCGTGTTTTTATTTTTTTTATCATTTTTTTTTGGTTTTACGAGACAGGGTTTCTCTGTATTGTTTTGGAGGCTGTTGGTCCAGCCTGGCCTTGAACTCACAAAGATCTGCCTGCCTCTGCCTCCCGAGTGCTGGGATTAAAGGCGTGCGCCACCACCGCCCGGCACACATTCGTGTTTTTACAAAGTCATAATATTAAAATTTAAAATAAACTATACTTTAAAAATAATCTTAAAGTAGTTCCAGACTCTTCACACAAGTGGTATTAAAACTAAACAACTCAAATTTAGTATTTTACAGAATTGTTTCTGAATTTTGGGAACTTCAGTTTCTTAAGGTTTTGTTTTTATGTGAAATTTCCTGCTAGCCTGTAGTTTAATGACTCTTAACCAGCTATTATTTCATTAACATGCATATGCATCAGTATGTATTTGTGTATGAACATTTATTAACCAGTGTTCAGAAATAATCCAGTTGTCCTCTGTGAGGGCAAAAGATTCTGAAATGATACAAGATAACCTACGTTTCAGTTAAGTAAAATACACTATACCTTTGTGTGTTTGGAGCTCTAGGGGAGAATCTTAGAAAAACTTTACTATGAACAACAAGAAGGGGAAATATAAGAGGCATTTTTACCAAGAATGGCCATAGGATAGTAACATTTTCATAGGTGCTGCAATGCCATGGTGGCCATAATGGTTAATCTTTGGTTTAAGAATACTTTGCTACTTTAATGATTTGACATTGTTAGTATTGTTATCATTCATGTTGCCAAACACTGCCTGGTCTGCATGGACGCCTATTAAAATACAGTTGTTCTGTGTGTCTCTTGGTTGTGACCTAGGTTCCTGAAGTATATAAAGTCTGCTAAATGATACACAGATGTATGTATGCATAGGTCCTTATTTATCATATGCTTTTTTGTTTTGTGAAAATTAATTACAAAAATTAGACTTGGATGTCTTATTTGTATGAAAATCAGAAAGAAACAGAGTTTTTGGATGGATGGTATGATGTCTATTGTAGACACCAGTTCTGTCTTGCTGTTAGGTGTCTTTGGTTCACTGTGTTAGCTTGCTATTTGTGTGAGTCACCTTTTCTTCTTTTATTCACATCTTTTTTCTTTTTTCGTTTTTTTGGGTCATCACTGTGACAAATTATCTGAGATAATTAACAAAGAGGAATGGTTTATTTTGGCTCAAAGTGTTGGATGTTCTAGTACAATATCACCCGAAACCTGTGCAGTGGGTCTGTAGTGAGTAGCAACTCATGGCAGGAGAGAATAGCAAAGCAAAGCTACTTTGCTCACTAAACAAATCACAAAGATGAGAAAGAAATTTGAGCCCCACAGTCCTTCAAAGGCAGGTTTCCACAGACATGAGGACTTCGCATTGGACCCCACCTCCCAGAAGCACCAGGCTAGGAATCAAGCCTTCAACACAGGAACCTCTGGGAGATATGCCAGGATCCATGCTGAATCGCTATCCATTCAATCTTAAATCTAAGTACCTGATCTACCATTAAAAAATAGCTCAGTGGACATAATTGCTAAATTTTTGAATGATAGTTACTAGAAATACTGATAATACCAGAAATGACAAAGATTGGGCTGTTACTTTTACATACAAACAATAGTTACTATTATCCACTCATATAGTCATTCAACAAATGTTTTAATAATGCCCAACCAGAGTTAAGTGTATTGGATGTATTTAATTTAAAAAAATCTTCACAGGGTCCATATAGCCCTAGGGTCACTTGTATCTTTTACTTAAAAGTATATTATTCATAGGTAAATCTATTCTAATACCAGGTGTGTATTATATACTATACAGTCAAGAATAATAAGTTGTTGAAATATTTAGAAAGCATACATTTGAATTTAAATATCTAATGCCTCAAGCAAATTTATTAGTTTCAGAGGAATATATATTTTTATAACTGCAAATATATGAATAGACCATAGCTTTTGCTTAGAAATATTTTTGTAAGCACTGATTTACACAGTATTCATTTTTAATAGTAAAACATCAAACTGGTTCTCTAAAAGTAACTTGCTTTGAATATATTTAATATTATGTAACATCCAAAATTCAATGATAAGTTTCATCTTAATGTTCTATTATCCTTATTTTTCTTTGTAGAATACCCATGTAACATAGTTTTGATCATTCCATATTTTGTTTGTGGTTAAATTTGTTAAACTTCATTATGTATTTTATATCATTTATTTTGCTCCCATAAAAGATTGAAATAGTAATGTATGATAAATGTCAATAATAATAAAGTTAATTATAGTCTGAGTTTAAATTTGACTAAATCCTATTATATTCTTACATATTTGGAAGGCAAAAAAGTAAAACTAAAATGTTTAACTTTTAAAAGCTGACCATCTCAGGA